GTGGAGCTGGCGTTCGGCTCCCTGAGCCAGAGCAGCCCATAACACTGGGGTTGGACTACCTGCCTCAGCTCTGGAAACGTGTGCATACTGTGCACAAGCTGGCCAGGCAGCATCAGGATGCGGCCACGGTCAGACAGAAACAGGCCAAGCTCTGGGACTCTGTCTAGGTGTACTGCCCCATCAGGAGGATGGGGTGGTCACCCAAGCTGGATAGCCACTGGAGGTGTGGTTTACAGGGTGTGGATGCCAGATTGGCGCAGGACTGTCGTGCTGCATTTTAACTGCATAGTTCCATACCAGCCCCCAGCCCTGGGCCATGCTTGAGATCCTGGGCAGCCGGGACTGAGGAGGATGGTGGGAAACCTGGGGTCCAGTGGCTGCAGAGACACAGGCTACCGAGATGGGTAAAAATAGGGATGTGTGTGTGTGTGTACCTGCCACGTGTCGTTTGAGTAATTGGAGTGGCCAGCATGATGGGCAGTGTGTAAGAGTTGTGAGAGTTGTTGCCCAAACGAGCTTGATGGGCCGAATGGCCTCCTCTTGTTTGTAAATTTCTTATGTTCTTATGAGAGTGAGTGCCATTTAGTCAGTAAAACTATTTTGTGTTTCCCTGCACTTTGACTTTGCTTCATTCATCCATTGTGAGACTGACATGTCTGGTACCACAATATATATACAATACAACCAAGTTGAAAATTTTAAAAACATTTTACGAACAAGATTTTTGGCTACTTATTTGGGGAAAATGTTTACAAAAATCATTGTATCAGAGCAACAGATTTCAGTAAGTATACCTAAAAAATTCAGGTGATGTCAGCTTTCCAGTGAGATGCTAACTGAATGTTTTGATTTCAGCTCTGAATTCTGTGATTCTGGGAAACATCAAAATCAACGCTCTTCCATAATTTATAACCAGGAAAGGAATATTATATGTCTCTATCAAAAACTTTTGCTCATACCATTCTCCCATTTGGATATCAAAATACAGATTTTAAGGCAATAAAAGAAGTAATGATGCGTTATTAACCTCAAAATGAACCCTAAGCATTAACTTTCCCAGCCCTTGTTGAAAGTCTAATTTGACATGATAGCTGCATGACTCCACATATTTCACTGTATATACTTTTAGTACATAGGGCTTTGATGTGCATGTTTTTAGCTATTATACCATCCTAAAATCAACATTAGTCGCAGTACTGTTATAACTGTGTGCATGTGACATTCCATGTGACATGTCAGATTCTTACTACAGAGAAGGCAGATGAAGGGATGAAGGTTTTACAGCATTTTCTTCAGCTACTGGAGCTCATAGCAGCTGGCTGAATTTGTCAGGTAAAATAGCAACTGCTCAATGGCTCCCCCTCAAGGAATCACCAGTACACACAACAAAATAAAAGCATAACCAGCTATCAGACACTGGAAACAAAAAAAGGGAGATGTCCTTGTGTTTTTGGTGGTGACCCTTCATTCCAGCAAGCCTGCTTGCTACTGCACTTCCTTCCAGTTTTGGAACCCCAGAAGACCCCAAAGAACAAGCATTTATAGAGGACTTTTGTTTCCTCAGCTTTGCTTAGGTATGGCCCCCACTGTTCAGCTGCCCTTGGGCAAATCCACACCCCCAACTCATTTCCTTCCCCCAGTCTCCCACCACACAGATATTTTTCTGTTCCATGGGACAAAACTCAAGGTATGTTACTGTGGTTACCAGTGATTGTAATAACTAGACATTCCTAGACATTGATGTTTGAAAATGTATCTATGGCATTGTGATGTACAGAGTACCAGTTTTTTATTATTATTATTTGTAACCTTGATACCTTGCAGAAATTTTAACAGAAGGATGTATTCGTTCCCACCACTTGTGTTATACCTCTCTATAAGGATGCCTCAGGGTACCTTGAAGATAAAAATATTCTCAGATTTTACTGATGTTCATTCCCATTCTTCTGTGCTCAGGGAACTTAAATCATTTTGAAAGGATATACACTATATTGCCAAAAGTATTGGGACACCTGCCTTTACACACACATGAACATTAATGACATTACATTATTAATACATAGGGCTTTAATATGTTGCTGGCCCACCCTTTGCAGCTATAACAGCTACAATGCTTCTGGGAAGGCTGTCCACAAGGTTTAAGTGTGTTTGGGAATTTTTAACCATTCTTCCAGGAAAGCATTTGTGAGGTCAGACACTAATGTGGGATGAGAAGGTCTGGTTCACAGTGTCCGCTCTAATTCATGCCAAAGGTGTTCTATCAGGTTGAGGTCAGGGCTCTGTGCAGGCCAGTCAAGTTCCTCCACACCAGACTTGCTCATCCATATGGACCTTGCTTTGTTCAGTGGTACACAGTCATGTTGGAATAGGAAGGGGCCATCCCCAAACCGTTCCTACAAAGCTGGGAGCATGAAATTGTCCAAAATTGCTTTGAATGCTGAAGCATTAAGAGTTCCTTTCACTGGAACTAAGGGGCCAAGCCCAACCCCTGAAAAACAACCCCACACCATAATCCCACTTCCACCAAATTTTACACTTTAAAATTCAGTCAGGCAAGTACTGTTCTCCTGGCAACCGCCAAACCCAGACTCGTCCATTGGATTGCCAGACAGAGAAGCGTAATTTGTCACTCCAGAGAACACGTCTTCAATGCTCTAGAGTACAGTGGCGACGTGCTTTACACCAATGCATCCGACACTTTGCACTGCACTTGGTGATGTGAGGCCTGGATGCAGCTGCTTGGCCATGGAAACCCATTCCATGAAGTTCTCTACACACTGTTCTTAAGCTAATCTGAAGGCCAGACAAAGTTTAAAGGACTGTAGCTATAGTAGACAGTTGGCAACTTCTGCACACTATGTGTGTCAGCATGTGATGTCCCTGCTCTATGATTTTACGTGTTCCACCACTTCATGACTGAGTTGCTGTTGTTCCCAGTTGCTTCCTCTTTGTTTGCATTTATTCTTTACTTTTATTGTGGGGTCTGGGTGTTTGTGTTTGAAACCCTTTGGTTCTTTTCCATACTTATTCATGTAGATCAGACCTCTTTATTACATTGACATGTGCTCTGAATGGTTATTATGTCTGATGCACTGATGCTATTGCTTATAGATAACTACAGACATACTGTTACTATTATAAGGCATGGTCTCCTGCAGGTTTTATGACATATTTTAACTATTGCCATATTTTAGGGAATGTAGTGAAGTGCCTCATTATCAAAATATTTATGTCAGTAATACCATTCATTATTTATAAAATTATTAACTGGACCCTTGCAGAGAATCAGTTTTCACAAAGTTTAAATGGTCACGCCCCAGGTGATACATAAACATACCAATGCATAAAGATGTGTACAAAATGTTATCCATATAAGGAAAATTTTAATATGCACATTTAATAAAGTTAAATCAAATTAATAATTCATAAACTATTGTGACTCAGCCATAAATTAGTAGTTTAGACAAATTGTCACTGAAACAGACTTTCCAAGCTGCACTCCACTTTATACCTTGTCAAGGGCATGACTTTGGAGCATGGGGGGGGGAGGTCTTCACCCATTTAAGGGGGTCCAGAGGGTTGAATTGGCTGGTTGTAATTATTGGGGGGGGGGGGTTACAAGCCCACATCCGTATACCTTGTCACATACACCTGGACAAGCAGTTGTTAAACATGGATGGGTATATGAACATTATTTGAAAGACCGTGTACTGTACTACACTATATTGGTTTAACGTTCATGTTTGCTATGACCTTTATTCACCGCTTGGTGGCGACTTCTGCTTTATTTACTGAATGGTTGTGGTTGATTTGCAGACGCAACAACGTGACGTTGTGATTCGGCTTCACATGCTTCATCTCTTTATCTGTTGTCGTTTTTAATAAAATACAATAATACAAATGGTTCTACAATGATCCATACTAATGATCTACAGTATTTTACATAAACAAATTAAATTCTGGGAATATTCCAGTAACATTTTTTTGCTATGCCATACTTCCGTTTGAACGAGAGCTAGAATACACCCTGTTTTCGGTTCGAATTTGTAAGTAGGTTATGCCTGTATAATCCATTATTAGCCTTTTATTCAAGCAATTTCTGGTCATTATTAAGAATGTCATTTATATGACATTATATATGAATGTATGTTTTCTGTTACAGGAATATAACCTGCGTTAGAAATGTCTACTTACCTCAGAAGTATTTCCGTGGTATAACGTGACAATGCATACCTATGACTGTACACTGCTAACTGTTAAACTGGCGCAATATTTAACTTTTATTTCCGTGTATAGCACTACGCGATTTTCATGGCACCATAAGCCCTGACTATTCACGGATGCGAATTTCGAATCAGGAATCGTCTAAAACGTGAAACTGCGTCTGACTTATTGCAGAATGCAAAACCCAAAATCTAGTGATGGTAGTGACCAATCAAGTGCATTTGCACAGTAACACGCAGAAATGAATAAAAACGGTGCACTACAAGCTAATATAACAATTTTATTTTTACATATAGGATATATTGTTAGCTTGTGGTGGGTACAAGTCAAAATGGCTTAATCACTGGCTCAAGCAAAAGTGCTTTTCAGCCATTGCACTATTTAGCCAGAAGATAACAAGCTATACCGTACAGCATCACCAGAAGCGCGTCCAGAAAGGTTGCGGCCCGGTCCACACTGTCAAAACCACACATAGTAGCGCAGACATCACTTAATTAGTTACACGTACATAATGACGAAGTACATATCACTTAGCATTCAGGACTAAACAAATTCTGAAAAATGAACTGCAGCATTACATTATCCGAATAATATTCAGTTTTTTTTTATACAATTCTGGCAGAATGTCAAGTGAGGGGTGACTGCTCCCAGTGCAAGGTTACACCCACCTTGCACCTCCAGTTTCATTAATCACACTTGGAATTTACTGAATCACAGACCTACGTCAGTATACATCTCTGCATATTTCCCCATAGACAAAACACATCAACCTAACAGCCATTAAATAAATTTTATTCACACAAGGCCAATATGCATTTTTGGCTTAAAGGACTAAAATATATATTGGTATAGAGTGATGTATCTTCTCTTCTGGCCCACAGTACCCCACAGAAATCATTTGTACAATTTGTTGTTTCTTAAAAAAAGTTTTACTTTAGAAGCATTCAGAATGTCAACAAAAACAGCTGCATTTTTTATGGTCGCAATTACAGAGTGGTATTCAAAGTACAGCAAGGACTGAATATTACAACAAAGGGAAAAAACTAAAAAAAAAAAACATTTTTTGCAAACAAACAGCTACCCCACATAAAACAAGATCTTGTGCTATGCATCAGGAACAGGAAACCCACTACCTGCATGTTGTTTGACAACCCCTTAAACTGGGCAAGGCAAGGGAAGTAGCTTGGGAACTACCACTAAAAAATGTAGGGCTAAGACACTTTTTTAGTGTTAACTTTACAAAAAAAAGAGAAGAGGAACAAAAACTGTACAGCTTAAAAACATTTCATATACACAGCCTAACATTTCCTTGTTTATTTTTGTATTTGGAGACAAAAGTGTACATAGGGGATAAATGATACTAAACAAGAACCTAGGCTCTGAGTAACAAATTTATTCATCATCTTCATCCTCATCGTCGTCCTCATCTTCCTCTTCATCTTCCTCATCGTCATCGTCATCATCATCATCCCTTTTCTTGGCTTTCATTGCCATACCTGGGGCTTTCTTTCCAGAATCGGGTTTGCCCTTAGCACGGTAGGCCGCCATATCCTGGCAACAATAATGAAATGTAGACTCTGCATTGCACATGCAATAACCAACCCCCAGCAGCACCACATATGGGGAAGAGTGTGTTGCCTTCCTAGTTAGCTACAATGGGAGTTAAAAAATGACTGGGCACAAGCAGTCCAATATAATCCTATTAATCTCTAATGATGTTTAATGTAAAACTGAATTAATCAGGCACACTCCATCATAGGTTACAAGTTTCCTAGATGTCACTTCCAATGAAAACCACAAAGTTGTTAGACACGCTACAGAAAACTTATTTTTTACCATTAGAAGACTGCTTGTAGTGGGACATGGATCAGTGGTATTTGGAAGTGCACTGCTGTGATGTATTGCCATCACAAACTTACCTTGTCATACTTCTCCTTCAGTTTGGCTGCCTTCTTCTCATATGGCTGTTTGTCCTCGGCACAGGTGCTGTTCCACATCTCTCCCAGTTTCTTCGCTACATCCCCAATGGACAGACCAGGACTCTCGCTTTTAATTTTTGGGCGATGGTCGGCACAAAATATGAAGAACGCAGATCTGAAAGAACAGACATTCCTTCATTTGACTGTTTTCCTGTGTGAGTGCATGTTACAAGGATATAGAAGCACTTTTAACAAATTCTTAACCATAAAGCAAGATGCACATACGGGGGTCTCTTGGGTGCATTGGGATCTTTTGCTCTCTTCTTCTTCTCACCCTTTGGAGGGATATAGTTCTTCATTTCTCTGTCGTAACGGATCTTGTCTTGTTTAGCCAAGTCTTCAAATTTACCCTTTTCCTTAGCAGACATTGTCTAAAACAAAAAATTAAGTTACTTCAGTCACTGAATAACAGTACCCTAAACACACTGATCAAAGTTCAAATGGGAATCAATCATGCATCCATAACTTCGTGATAAATATTGTGACCAGAAGGTACAACTTCAGTTACCATATGGTATACTGTGGTAAATATGAAAATGAGCTCAGGAAGCTCCTGTCTAATGACAGTTTTACCTCGTATCACACAAGACCCATACCTTCCATCGCTCAGAGCATTTCTTGGAGAACTCAGAGAAGTTGACGCTGGCATCTGGGTGCTTCTTCTTGTGCTCCTCCCGACAAGTCTGCACAAAGTATGCATAGGAGGACATCTTTCCTTTTGGTTTATTCGGATCTTTACCCATCTTAGTTACGTGTGTCTGTTTTAAATAAAAAAACTACAGCATAAGCATTAAGGCCAACAAAACTGTTTTCCCTTAACATCATACCATTAACCTACTTCTATTAATTAAAATAATTCTATGTAGAGCTACAAGTTTAAGTATGTCCGGTATTTATCAAATATACCTGACTACCTGTCTATTAAATCTTATTGCCCCTCCACTTGTATATCCCCCAAAACAGGAGATGCAACTTCTATGGTGTGATGTTTGAAACCCTAATGCTGTCCAATCAATCAGGAAGTGCTTCAGAATCAGAATATCAGAATATCCCTGGAACCTCATATTCCCTCCCCTGGAGCCAGACCACTTTGCTTTCCCCGCGTGCCCCTCGGGGCTCACTACAATTCCACCTTGTCTCTGCAGAAGTCAAACATGCTAAAAACTACTGTCTGGACTCAAGTCATTTCCCATGTTCCATCCTCTTCTTTATGGCACCTCATCACCTCCAAAACACATTACTTCTTAAACTTCAGCACATGCTGCTAGAAATTTGAGAACTAATTACCATTGTCCTGCTCAGTTTTCTGACTTGCACAAATTTGTTAAATTACACAAAATAACCTCACTCCTCATGGTATGCCTCGCATATTAATTTCAGTGTGGTTCTATTGTTATGGCACATAGTCATCTATGCATAATATTAGAGTCATGAACAAGTGCCACTAGACACCAGCAACAGAAATTACATGACACATACTTCCAAGTAACTTAAGTCAGTAGTATGTCACAAGTCAGGATTTATGTACAAATCACATTTTAATTTAAACGTATCGCAATGACTTCTTGTTCACGGGGACAAATTGGCTTCTGCAATAGTGACATTACATTAGCAACACTTTAAAACTGGTATGCTATAGTACTGGTATAGCCAAGTATGAAAAAATGCGGTTATAGTGTATTTTATTATAGAAAACGTCAAATTCAACGATCAACTCGACACTGGGTCATACACTCGACTCTCGTACCCCAGGGTGATCTCCTGTTTTCCTACGCTTAAGCCTCGACTAAAACCAGCCCCCTATTTATTTTACCACACGCCCGATTATCAACCTGGTAAAAGTTCAGGCGAGACCGATCGGTGAAATAACGCAGTGAAAACGCTTCCCCTAGAGAATCAAGGGGATTTTATACGTTCCAACTCGAAATTTACGAGGGCCGCTAACTTACTCAAAAGTGCCAAAGATGACAGTATTGTGAAGGATGTCTTCAATCTAGCTACTTAGGTAAAGCAAATCAACCCGCAAATTTTGCATCCAAAAGACGTTTAAATTGTATATGTGAGCGAAGTAAACTAATAAAACTCCCTGTCTATAACCCGTAATTAAAAATAGCATTAATAAATTCAGTTTAAATATGTAATAGGTTACCACTGATATGTAAAACGTGTACAAATTATACTTGTATTGTGTTCTAATTATTTAAAAGATTATATTTCCACCAAAGTAGCACCTATTAGGGCATTTGGCGGACAATTCCTAAAGCTAGCTAGTACATCACTATCCAGTCAGCATGGCGTTATTTTAGCTTGCTGGGAGAAAAGGAGGTCAGCAGCGTATTTCTTCTTCCATTTTGTGAAAATGGCTTCCTTATGAGAGAAAGTCCCCTTCAAATGTCTCCTCCATTTAATACCGGTCACATATTTTTACAAGCGGCACATCCTTTGCCGTTTACTCCCCTCCAAGGATGCCGACGCGCCGCTCCGGGTGTACATGGTGATGTGATCGGCACCGTACGGTTTCTATGCAGTTAGCAAGCCTGCTAGCTCGCCTTCCGTAAGCGCGGAATGGCCGCTTGTCACCCTCGGCTACATGCTAGCGCGCTTTAGCCAGCGCAGGGAATATGGCTCCTTTCCTTTGTGTCGCTGCTCAGCCATTACCAAGCAAGGGAAGGCGGAATGGGGGGGGGGGGGTGACCCACCTCTTTTTATACCAAGATTACACAGGCAAATCGCGAACACTGAGCCGTGCGGACCGCGCGTCTGGACACAGAATCGCTGCTTCTTCCTTTTACCGCCGCGAAATTGACAAGTTTTCCGGCCGGTTCGGGGCAAAAAGCGGTTTTAAAAAGTTCAGGCTTAACAGCGCTCCAAGCGCGTCTCCCACTGCCTGCGCACTGGCTCTGCCTCAGTTCCTATCTCTGCGATAATGTAGTCAGCCATATTACAGAGGCTTAAGTGAGAGACATGTCTTCAGTTAAAATTACAACCCGAGAAGTAATTATATTTTTAAATAAAAATATTAATCACAAATCTAAACAATTCTAAGCAAGAAATTTCATATTTGCGTTTCGACCCATTAAAGGCGCCGTTTCTTCTTGGTCTCGGTCCCCAGCACGAGATTTCGGGCTCTTCAGTCTTAAGTCGGTTAGCGATAGCCACACCGCTAACGGGCAGACCTCGCTGGTTTGGGATAGACATTATTTCACAACTTAGAAAACCTAGTATCAGAATGTAATTAAAATATCGCCTTATTAGGAAATGCATATTACACACTAGTGGCTATGCGTTTTATTACATTATGCATACGTAAAAAAAGGACACAACAGTTTAACAGAAAAGTCTATATTAGGAATATCACTACAGATGCCTCTCGTTAAGTACGAGCGAAAATACGAAACATCAATGTGCGCCCCAGCTTTGCGAACGTCACCCAACCAGCGAAATAACGATGACTACACATTACAGCTAAGTGGCTAATGTATCTTGTTTTAACTGAGTACACAAAGAGACGAAAGGGGGAAATCGGTACCGAAATATTGCTAATAATTTTTACCCTTGTTAAGTATCTTCTTTTTTGGCATTATTTTAACGAGTCGCTTGCTACAGGTTCGCTTATATGCTAGCTAGACACTTACCCAAGGTTGCCGCTCTATCTTAATGCAGTGCAATGGCTGTATGTGAGCAATAGCAATACGCAGTACCCTCAGTCTCCAGCCTCTAACATTACTCTCGCAGTCTCAGCCAGTCTCCGCTCCCATTGGCTGCCGCCAAGTCCATGATTATTCTGATTCGTTGCTGACATTTCATTGTCCTAATAAGAGATGCGCTTCAATTGGCTATTACTTGAGAAACGTCATCAAAGTTTTCAGTGGCGCGTTTATATGAAACAGAACAAAGAAACATCTGACATGGGCCTCATGCTTCATGCTGGATGGTTGAAGCATGTAGCCGCGTTTCTCACAGTGCAGACCGCTGTATGGTGAGAGCGCTGGGAGTTGGGAGAGGGAGCCCGCCGAGTTTTGTTTTAGTTTCAACAGTTAGTTGTCTCTCAAACATCTGCTTGTCATGTTCAGCACTGCATTTTCTCTGTTACTAACAAATTTGACGACATTGTTTTTCTTTTTTACTGGTGACAATTTTGACTGGTAACAGTTTTATGTGCGCGTTTATCTTTTGACTGTCTTTTCCATATTTATCGTTGAATAAGCGTTGCATAATTAATCATTTGGCAAACAGCAGTACTGATATTGTATTGCATACTTCTCCAATGTCTCGTTAGATTCCTTTTGAGGTCTCCAAGGGTGGCTCCCATATTTAATCCTTGTTGATTCCGCTATTCAGGGAAACGCTTCATTATTAAAGAATAATTAAGGTTATTGGTTATTCATCAGTTTACAGAGCACTGACGGCTTATCGCAGTTGTTTCCAACCCACTTACGTGTAAATAGTTACTGTTTATGCCAGTTGATTTTATGTGTTATACGGTTGTATTTCTGATCCGATTATTTTTGTACGTTTTTATATACTCACCTAAAGGATTATTAGGAACACCTGTTCAATTTCTCATTAATGCAATTATCTAATCAACGAATCACATGGCAGTTGCTTCAATGCATTTAGGG